GTAGCTGAAAGAGGAAGATACCTCACGTTATCAGCAGCATGGAGGTCAATGGCCCTTTGTTCCATGCCCATCAACACAAGGTCTGGGACGTGGTGTAAGAAATACCTAAAACATTGCCTGCTTGAAAGGTGCCACCTCTGCTACAATTGGTGAAGCTGAACCAGCTTCACTGATAGATACTGTGGGGTTTAACTGAATGAAGAACCTGAATTCTGACACATTTGGGAGAAGTGTGGAAGGAAGCTTCTGTTTCTGATGTGCTACATTTAACAAAGTACATAAAAAATTTGCCTATTTGAAGTTCTACAAGGCTTTAACTTATTTTCTTGAGATCGATTTTAGTATGCCCACACTTGCATAAGAACTCTGTCAAATGGAAATGAAGTGGATAATTGAGACTTTTGTGGATAATTTGACATGTTTTAAAATGCCTGTTTCAATGGATTTCTCTTGGGTTTATATTTAAAATACATAAGTGACTGTTAGATTTGAATAAGAAATTAGGCGGCCATTTGGATTTCAATTTTTTTTTTATCTATGGAGATCTCAAAGATTATTTTTTTTTTTTATTATTCCAGGGGCGTTTTTAATTGCCTCTTTTCAGGCTTTGATAAAGCAGCTCTTATAAACGATGACATTTGTTACTAAAACAAGTTTCATGCAATGGAGGAATGTTAATCAAAGCACGGTACTATGAAAAGCTCAGCTACCATTTCAGCAATTTAAGGACCTTAAGAAGAGACCAAATCCTGCTACCCTCATGAATAAAGCTGCTAGTGCAGTGAGTTGTATTTTGCATAATGACATACTGGGCTGCATTAGGAAGACCACAGCCCACAGGTTGAAGGAAGTGACTGCTTCCTTCTGGTCAGAACCTGTGACACTGCATTTGGATGGTTATTTCCAGTTTTGATATCCCAGTACAAGATAGACATTGTCAAACTGGAGAACTACAGTGGAGGACAACCAAGGCGATGAGGGGGATGGAATGCGTGATGTGTGAGGAGGGGCTGAGGGAGCAGTTTGTGCAGCCTGAGGAGAACACAGCTAAGGGCAGTGCTGATCGCATTCTTCAGCTTCCTAATGAGATGTTATAAGGAAAAGACAGAGCCAAACCACTTCCAGAAGTGCACAGTAGAAGGCATGAAGCACAATTTTCAGGTAGGAAAACTCTCATTAGCTATACAGGAGCAAATCCACATTCCACAGTGAGAGGGGTCGAACACCGAAGTATGTCGCCCAGAAAGGTTGTGTCATTTTAATGTTTGGAGGTAGTCAGAATTCAGCTGTACAGGCCCTGAGCAACCTGACATAACTTTGAGGTTCTCTCTGCTTTGAGCTAGATGACCTTCAGATGTCCATTCCAGCTTAAACTGTTCAAAAATTCTGTAAAAATGGCTACATTAGCTCAAAACAACGTCCAATCTGCTGTCCGTGTGGTCAATACTGGATGCCTAGAGAGACCGTATCACAGTCATCGTTGCTATCCTGGCCAGCTAATGGTTGAAATAGCAGCCACAATATTATAGCCTTTCTAGTTAAGGACAAAATTTTACTCCATCACAATTCTGTGATACTTGTTGACACAGCTCTTAGCTTTTTTTCCTTTTCATTGACATTCAGAGCAAATCTTGTGAATGCATGATGTATTCTGTCAATCCTGTACACTTTGTACAATATTCATTTAAAGAATAGCTAACTGAAATTAGGCATAAATATTACTTAGATGAATGTAAATATATACCAAGGGGGGAAATCTAATCCCAGGATTTTGATGTTAGCAAATGCAGAAATTGGTTGAAGAATTTAAAATTATTTAGATCTTGCATTCCATTTAAGAAAAAGTAATTAATGCAAAAATGATATATCAATTACACTCTGATAATCTCTGTCCAATCCTCTGTAAACTAATAATACTTGAAAAATTTAAAATCAAATTGTCTACACTACACAGCTTTAATGTCTCCATACAATTCAGTTTTAAACCATTATAGTTAATATGTATATGAAAGGAATTTTAATAATGGTAGATAACAGCTATTTATTTCTGAAATATGTTTATAAGCAGTAATTTTTTTTAATAAGCAGCTTGTGGCTAATTAGTTTTGTGATACAAGATGTTATATGTCTCAAATTGCTGTACATCAGTGAACAGGATAAAGAACGCAGAGCAGAGTAATGGAATAAAGCTTATTTTCTTGTGTCAGCACAGTTCATATGAATGACAGGATAAAAGAAAGCCATGAATCGGATGTGAAAAGGTTATTTCTACCGTGTGAAAACAATGTTTGTCACAGTCTCCATTGTACATGCCTGTCTGAGCCGGGTGGAGCTGCAGTAGCAAACATCCAGGCTTGTGAAGGCAGTCTTGAAAACTAGAAGTGTACTTTGCTTATGGGATTCCACTTACCACCAGCTCTGATAGCATTGATCAGAAATGCAAAAAGTGGAAAAGCAACGGTATCGTCGTGTGGAGAAGGGGCTGGGATAGTGCTGAAGCCAGAGTTTTGTAACTATAATGTGGGAAGCAAGTAGTTTTACTTTCTGAATCAGGATTAAATTATCTGGAAGTCAAACTATTAAACTGCAGGAAACTTTCATGAAATAAAGTCTAGCTGAACCCTGGCAAACTATGTGATGTCATTTCCAAGCATGTTAATGCTTGGAGAAGTGTATTTTATGGCTAATATTGCAGCACAATGAGATCTACAGGCATATTAGGTACCTAGTTCGTTAGCATGTTAAATCAGTTTACTGACCGAAAATGTTGATTAGGCTAACTGTCCACATTACATTACTAACCTACTTTGGACAACTTAAAAATCTACTATTTGAGTCTCTGATGAATAGACCTACAGATATCATAGCTGTCATGAAGCAAAATAATTACATGTGAAAAGTAAATGTTTTATACTAAAACACAGTGGGCTTTCTGTTGTATGATCATTTTTGTCACAGTAATCTCCTGCTAAGAGGTCACTGTGTTGGATAAAACGTACACAAGGATGTATGGGAATGGCAGCCAGTCCTGCAGGGCTGTACAGAAAAATGTATCCACGTAATGATAAAATTGCAAATATCTGTTCCCTAGGCACTGGATGGAAGGATTTCATTGGTATGTCCAGTTGATGGTTTTTCATTAAGTTTGTATTTCTCGGGGACAGAGAAGTTGATATCTCTGGGTGTCAACTTTAGGTACCTAACTGAAGTTAGGTGGGATGAATCGAGGATACTGTGTAGAACTATAGTAATTTAAGCAACCTAGTAAAAAGGGAATTGTAGTTTGTGTGTGCATGTGCTTTCACAAGTTAAAATGTATACACACACATATATATACCACTAATCAAACAAATGCATTTTTCTAAGACTCAGCCTTGCATTATGGCCAGCTTTGCGTTATGGACAAAAGACAGTGTCAATATTAAATCAGCTTTTAAATATTTCCTCAGAGCAACATTGTCAAAGTTCAAGTGTGGTGCCAAGAGAGCACTCAGACTGGACTGGAGGTAAAGAAATTAAGACAGTTATAGTTAAAATATATTTGAGCTTTTGAACAACAATTAATTTTGTGTTAACAGAATTAATACACAGTTCTGTAATTGAGCAGCCATTAGCATAATGATAATGAAGGCATATCAGTGATCTGAGCTAGCAATTGCTTCATATTAAAGTGACAGAGCTAATGAGCTGTTTAAGTACTTTTTCTTTGCGGATATGATCACTGTCAAATATGTCCCTGGAAAGAATTCGGGAAAGAATACTTTACTTAGATTATATTGCTATCACCTTAAAGTTGCACATCATTCTCATTCTTTCTTTGGCAATAAGAACTTTAAAAATTCTTACATTTTTACAAAAATTATTACAGAACATTTTCTGAATTTGATTAGTGCTTCAGTAAAAGGTGAAAATACTCTGGATCAAATTCTCTGCTAGTGTAAAGTGATGTAATAAACTCAAGACAAAAGCCACACAGCTCTGTGTGTTTCCTCACGAATATGGTCTTCGATGATTTTGTGTATTCATGGTGAACTGCTAGCGTATTCGCATGGCTCTCACTGCACCGCTGTAAGTTTGAACAACTGTTTTACCACTCAGAGGTTCTGTGCAGTAATTCCTGCTCTTCAGCTGCGTGACCTGCTTTGGTCTGCTTCTGTGCCCTGAGAACTGCTCATATTCATGTCAGTCCCACACCTGCAGTAAGGACAGACCCTTTTTTTTAAAAAAAAAAAAAAAAAAAAAGGATGGACAAATAGCTCGCCTTTTAAATATGATGTGAAACATGCAGTGTCGGTCACTAAAATGTCAGCTATTGCTAGTAGCTAACAGTGAAGATGATAACTGAAAGATTAAAGCTTTTCTTTTACATAGAATAAGAAGCAGCTGGGATCTATGAAAAAGTTGTGGAAAATACTTACTTGATAACAACAAAAAATATCTAAAAAGGACTGTTTTCCAAAGATGATGTGAAGCGTAAGACCAAAACTAAAAGTTTTAATCAAAAGTATGCATTTTTCTACCTTTTATATTCTTTACTGTTTTATCCATACCTCAAGGTGGAAGTCTTCAGTGAATTGGATTCAACTAGTATAAACCAATATAGCTTCACAGACAACTTCATTATTTTCCAGTATAATAAGGGATTTAAGGAAAACCTGTAGCTGCTAAACATCCGAGCCAACTGTTTCAGGTTTTTCATAAGCTGTCTGATTTGTCTAAAGTTGAGGCGTTATCTGCAAGGCAGATGGATGTTTCATGATTTAAAATGTCACGTGAGGGAATTGGTGCAACATTCAACTAATCACTTAGTTAGGCCCCTGACATTAGACTAAGGGAAGTTTTTAGTTGAAGATTGGATGGTTCATATAATTGTACAAAACACAAAATACAGTAAACGCATACTAGGGGAATTATTTTGTGGAAATATTTGCCTTTCTGCTGTGCAGCTGTAAGCATAATTTCTAGCAGCAGGTGAACTGATGTAATGTGATTGATTGCAGGTTCCCTCAAGAGCTGAACATGGGAAAAATCAGTGCTGAAATCACGTGGACTCTCTTTGCCCAGGACATGAAATATGCTCTGGAAGGTAATTAGAACAAACTATTAATTACACTAGAGAGTTCAACAAGACTGATTGCCACTGCAAATCACACCTGGCATCAGATTTCTGTGGGTGGTAAGAGTTTTCTGACGTACTTGTTTAAGATGTTTCATAAGTTAGTGAAAAAGAAGCGTTGTAAAGAAAGAAAATCATTGCACTGCAACTATATGAAGTTATCTGTGGAAGAAGGAGACAAAAGAACTGTAACTTGAAATGCTACTTCTTATTACCTAAATCTGACAAAATCATCAGTGTCCAAAGAACCACAAATATGCTTGCTAGAGAGCATTGTAGGCATTCCATATTTTCTTACTAGCTGAAAATTGCTAACTTGCCCACAAGAAACATTTACAGAATGAAGTTATGGAGAAAACATATACAGATAATTAAACCTTTTTGTGTTCAAAAGGTAGGTTGTATTCATTCTAGTTCCGACAGAATCAAATGCAGTTTCCTTTTATTCTTTAAGACAGTACTGTGGTTAACCGTAGGTAAAATATACTTTTCTGTATAGCAGATAATGTCCAACTAATGGTTTCAAACCCACTCATTAAAATATGGTTATTGCAGAAAACCAGGTAAAAATACCTGCATGAAACTTTTTTAAAAAATACTGAAGAGAAGAAGTTAAGAAATATTCTTAATGAATGATAGAAATATTGCCAGCCCATATACATGTATTCATATGAACTTTTAGATCATTATTAAAATCATGACTCTTGAAAATAAGCTCATCAAACTCTCCCTAGCTAGTATTTATTTTTGCAGAACAAAAAATGATGGCATTAGCTGAACTTCACTAATTTTCTTTACCTATTAAACAGATTTCAGGTTTAAATGTGAGAGAAATGCAAGAGGATCTTTGTTTCCATCTGACATCAAGAGTATAGCTAAGATGAGTTGGAAACTAAATGTATCAAACCTGAATTTGATCAGTAAACTAGATTTCTGCATTGTAAGATATGCAATAAAATGCATTCTGTTGGTCTTGTACGTATACAATCTTTACAGAGTTTCTCTCCAGAAATAAAAAAAAGAAAAAAAATTAAAAAAATTTAAAGAAAAAGTATATCAGAAACCAATTATAAAGCAGACAGTGCAGTTTATAATCTCATGGTCAATCCCAACATGATGTGAAAGGAATTATAATATAGAGCAGTTTTTTTAAAAATAAAATAAAATTTTTCTCCTCCTTTTATAAAAAATTGTTATTCAGAGAAAGAAAGAATTTATAGTGCTAGCCAATTTTTTTTACTTCCACAGTAGCAGAAATAGCTAACTGTGATTTTTAGGTAAGCAAAACTCACATTGTCTTCAGTCAAGCCTGCTACTAACTACAGAGCATGTCTGCCAGTGGTGAAAATAAGTATGAGGTTGGATTTAAACAACATTTCAACTCAACAGGCATAAAGGATAAAAAAAAGGAGTATTTGAAAATTAATTTCTGTATTATTTGCTCCAGAATGTCTAACACGATAATACCAGTGTGGTGGTACTTTGATAATACTGTAGATTTTTATGATGATAAAGAAAAAGAGAGAAAAGATGAGTGACTAGAATGACTATTAATGGAAGAATTATTTTGTTCATCTGCTATTGTGTTACTTTATTTTGTTAATTATATTATTTGAATGTGTAAATAATTACTAAGCACAGCAGAAGAAAAAGATAGGAGGAAAGGAAGGAATGAATTACAGAAGTGGTGATTATAATATGTAGAATGACAACAGAAGACATGAGAAATCAAATCTAAGATGTGAGTAGAAGAGATGTTCAAACTAGTATTTGAAGGGGATGTTCTGTAGTCATGTCAGAGTGAATCAAAAGTAGAAGTTTGAGCAAGCTAACGTCAGGCAGGAGATCATCCTTTGAGAGTGATCAATGAAGTCGAAAGCACCAAAAGCTGAGAAGCATGAAGACCAAATGAAAGCCACTATTTTGGGTTAGAATATATTCCTGGTTACATCAGTGAGAACAACCTTACATCTGGAGAGGCTGTGAATCGGGAACAGGTATCAGAAGATGGCTGTTCAGCACCTCGGTGTCGTCTATGCACTTACAGATAGCTAGCACAGATTAGTAAGGATTTCTAATAGCCATTATGTTGTCATGCTTTCATAACTTCGAATGTATAGTTGCACTCTGCACACAAACATCCCTGAGCACCCCGGTGCTTGTAGTGTTTTAGCCATTGAACTATAAACATTCTGTACTGCAACACGAAAATTCACGAAAGATAATTCACTCTATTTGCGAAGTAGAGCATACTTAGCACTCAAAAGGCAGCATCAGATCAAGCCGTGGTTTGTTTTTTGGTTGTAAAGAATAGAACAGGAAGCTCTTGAGGAAGAGTTAATTATACAATACATGAAGTGTGGACAGTTGGGCTGGATCAGGACTTTAAAACAAATATTAATATTAATATCCTAATTCTGCAGAGAGATATATAGAGGACTCATTAGGAGGCACTTGACTTCCTATGTCTATTCCAAACCCAAACCAGTCCCTGCATACAGAGTCATCTCTGTGTTGCTGTGGATACTGTCTTTCTGAGGAAAGTAAATGCTATTTTTGTCATGAGAAATTCTAAGTCACTCCCAGAATCAGCAGTGAAACAGTTCCTGTGTATAAATAGTAATTGAAGGAAATTGAAATTAATTATAAATTATTATAAATATACATAATTTCACCTTCTATGGCTTCATTCCTAAACAGGATCCTCAATAAATCTAGTCACAAAATATAGATCAGCATGCTGTTTCTCTCTCTAGCTTTGCTGGTTTTCAAATCATTAATTCTTTCCATGGATATTTTACAAACTGAGTTTGATTCTCCAGTTGATAATGGCAATAAAATTTTTTGCTTCAAATTCTACAAGGTTAGGAGCAAGCCCTTAAATATGGTCATACTCGATCCTCATGGTTTTAATGGACTTTGTTAAAATGCGTTGCATTCTGCTATGCCAGTCTCGCCTTCCAAGTTATTAACATAGGCTACCATCTGTTCATATGTAGTGTCCAGGGGTGTGATTGCAATCTTTGCCTGATTCAATTTAGTATTAATCTCCTGAAGCGGCATCTTTTGTGTTTAAATTTGATTCCTTTCTGTATCCAATCAAGAAGCAATGAAATAGTCCAACATCGTTTGCAAAAGGATTGCTGATGTGATAAAAAAGATTAAATTAGCTCATCCAAGATCCTGTTTCTGGTTTTTCCCACCTTATATATTCCCAAGTATATCTAGCCACTCCCATCAGCTTAAATTCAGGAAAGGAGTATGTCATAACTCCATTCTCTAAGAGAAGACCAATACTGGAACGTTCAGTTTACATTCCTTTTTCCCCGTTTTCCTGAGAGCAGTTCAGAATGGCTGTTCAGGCCACGTACCCTGGCTGTACAGCTGAATGCCTCCTGTATCTGCCCCGGGGATGTATGGCGCTGCGGCTGCTGCTGGGGAGATTTGCTGCTCTTCAGCGGTGCTGCCTACCTCCTTTGCAATAGGAGCCCTGTGAGCCGGGCACCGGCAGACGTTACACCCCTCTGCCTTGTCTTCTCCCCTGATTCTTGCCCAGGACAGTCTAGCTGGGAGGCTGCTGTTGTGACATGGAGAAGATGGAGGGAACAGCAGCTTCCATAGCAGTGGCCTTTTGCGAGAGAGGAGTATAGTGGCTGCACGTCCCTACGAACACCAAGGCAGCACATTTCCACGTGACAGGGTAGATGGCTGCTGTCGGGGGAAACAGCTCGCTTTTTGGATGAGAGAGGAAAGGACATCCCAAAGCACAGTTCAGGTCTCCACAGCTGCTGAGATCAGGGCTCCACTGTGCCAAGCTGACATGCCTTGCAAACAAAACGGTACTAAAATCTGGTATTGAGTTCATAATTTTATTCTAGATTTTCTTCCATTTTAAATTAATAACAATGTTTAGCCTTTGCATAGTATTAGAAGTTTTATGCAAACTTTAACAAATTAAGTCCACACCAGTTCTAGGGAGCTTGGGATTATTTTCATGTATAGTTTTTGCATGGAGAAGGTATCATATGTTGCTCTTTGAGAACTGACTTCATTAGATTTGGTCCTTTTTTCTCTTCTTTGCAGGTTATTCGTGAAGCAACAGTGATTTGCATGATAGATCATACATGTTGTTTGGCATTTAGTTTACACAAGCATATCTGAGCTTATAGGATGTTAATATTTTTGTACTGTCTGGTCCTCAAATTATTCTGTATTTATGGTACAAACAAATGAGAACAGAGAGAGAATTTCACCAGCAATGCAAGTGATTTGTTACTGACTTCATATGGTAAGAAATCTTTTCCTTTCCAAGTATGAAGATGCGAAGGTTAAAAGATGATGAGAGAGTAATGAGCTGAAATTAGACATGCAATTACAAAAGTATCTTTTTTATTCTATGTCCTCAGAAATGTCTTTTTCAGATCTTTCATATCTCTAACTTTTGAATAGGTCAGAACAAATGTTCAAACCTATCCAGGCTGTTAGAAAGAGAACATTCTAATTGCTGTTATTATGATAATCTAATTCCAGTAGTGGCCAGAAGTCAAGACTAGGATCAGGCCAGAAATGAATTAGCTGCTGTGTAAATACAGAAATAGACAGTCTCAATCCTGCAGAGCTAAGATTCTGAAGTGTCAGGCCTTATAAAAATAGGAGAACAAGAAAGTCATTACACCATTTAATGCATTTAACGTAGGTTTGCTTTTTAAGTTTGCTGTTCTCCTCAATGCATAAGCAGATATCATCTTCCTGTTTCTCTGGCAGATTCCTCTTTCATGACAGAAACTGATAAAGTGATATGACAGAGAAGAGGCAGGTCCGTGAGTTGGTGCTGAGCACAGAGACAGCATAGAAAAAAAAGAGGCTAATGCTATTTAGTCTTAAAGTTGTCACTCAATAATATCAGTGTATATTGCCCCATATATTTAATAATGATCACGAAGTTCCCCTTAAAACAGAATATAACCTTG